CAGTGTTCCTATTTCTGGACGTTCTGATGATCGTCTTTGGCTTTCTGGCTGGAATAATAGGTTACTTACTCGTCCGAGGAGGAGTCTGGGTAAGAGAATTATGCTTTTTAGCGTCGGGTGAATTATTATCACCTACATGTGTTTCATAAGACGCTTCACAATAAAATGCAATTACTGAGGGGGAACCAAATTGTACTCACATTAATTTTGAAAATTGCAAATTTTTAATATTAGATACAATGCGAGAAATTATGGACTGTTGTCACACTAGGCGGCATTAGAGTACAGAGAAGCTTACATTTAATGAAAAGAAAAACGATAACTACTGCTTATCATTCTTTTTTGTACAAATTGCAAAACAATGAAAGAAGGGATTCTTGCGAGTATGTCAGAACAATAATGAAAGCAAACTTTCCATGAAGATACTTAACTGGTGTTTGTGAAATTGCAACACCCAGAGGGAATGGTTGGAATTACTTAAATATCAGTAGAGGTATAGAACAATGTATCCATAAAAAGTGATTAAATGTTCTTAGAGATGGCGTTCTGCACGTCTGCACGATAGAGATTTGTACGTTGACCTAGTAGCTCCCTCCTTTGTGTAACACGTCAGGTCAGTGTTCTGCCTCACTCAGTCGGTGTAGAGCCGTCAAGCGACGTGACAACGTGAAAGCAACGTATCAGTTTGCCTCGACGACGTCAAAGGGAGCAATATAAACATCTGCTTGAATTCGTTAAGGGCAGAATGATCGGCCTCGTTCAAGCATCTTTCTCGTACTGTGACATTGCGACGCTGAAAGGGCACACTGCTACGACAGTGATGTATGTGTAGATCCACGAGCTAGGGGAGGGTCGTACACAGCGACGAGTGGGTACTGGACCACACAATGTGACCACAGAGCCAGATGACCGCCATCTCGCTCGCATGGCTGTAACTGACAGAACGGCCTCGTCCAGAGATGGCTCGACTTTGGAGCACTGCAACGCTTCAATTTGTGGTGCAGCGATGGCCGCGTACGCTCGTGGTCATGCGTGCATCGTTGGTTTGACTCCGTCTGCTGAGGGCTGAAACGAGGGCAAGCCTGCCACTGCGTTGAATTTCGTTGACCAGAAACCACCGACTCCTTGGAGAGCAACGGGCGTGTAAGACGTCACTTGTGTGCTGAGGGGGAAAATGTAGTGTTTTCGGACGAGACCCGCTTCAAATTCGTGGTATGGAGATGGCCGCGTACATGTTCGACTCTACCGTGGTGATCGCAGTCTGCCAGCCTGCATTGTTCCGCAACGCAGCGGGCAAACGCCAAGTGTAATGGTTTGGGGCTCCATTGGCTACAATGGGCGATCGCCTCATACGTGACGGCTATCTGAGCAGCCACCGCTACAACAGGGAGGTTTTGCAGCTCGAGGTACTGGCACTCATGCAAGCAGCGCCACATGCCATATTTCAGGAGGACAATGCCCAACAGTATGTCGCGAGGAATGTGCAAGCTCTCTGCGAAGAACGGCGGATGGGATGTGATCGGTTGGCAACTTGCTCGTTCTGGTCCTCCTGCGGTCACGTGTTGTGGTCCCTCAAGGCTTGGCAATGTGTTAACCAGTGCCATATCTAGGCTCTCTTTCAATCCTAGCCACGGCGTCTAGAGGCTCTGATGGCAGCGCGTGGCGGTTTCACGCCGAATTAAATTCTCAATCAAAATGAAAGTACAGTTTTGTAATTCTAAGCATTTGTGTATTGTGATATTTCTAACCTGTCAACTAAATTTCATTCTCATAATATGTCTCCTTAGTGTTGTAACTTTCACAAACACCCCTATCATAAACTTTCCACACGAGTACATACATAAGGATAAGGAAATTTTATGGCGTCTTTTACCTGAATATTGTAATATTTGTAAGTGCTAGTTTTTCGTGCCTACAAATCTGCTGTTTCATTCTTATTCTCATTATTGTTGCTGTTGTTTTGCGGCGAATCGCTCATCATGGGGCCGCGCGTCCCTCTGGGGTTCACTCATGATTATCGGGGGTAGGGTGAATCAGTATTTCAATGATGATTCCATTTTTACTCCCCAAAGTACTAAGCCCTGGGGAATGGAGTGCAATGATGACAATGAAATATAGACACACACAAGCATAGAGAAACACACGTTTACCATTATTATTGCTAGTGAATTGCTGGGGTGATGGTGAGGGGTGAAAGGACTAGGAGATGGTGAATGGTGGAGTGGTGGAAGGTGTTCGTGGGATCCTAGCATTCGCCTAATAAGCGAGGAAAACAACGAAAAACCCCGGTCAGGATGGCCAGAGCGGCTTCCGACCCCGGTGCCCCCGATTGCGAATCCGCGCAAGTATCACTGAATCACTTCGCCCAATACTATTTTTGTTGCAAATTGGCCATCTTGGGGCCACGCGATCTTGCAATCCACCAGGGCTCAGTCATATTTGTCGAGGATGTGTGTACGGGGCTTTAATGCGAGGGCAGAATCTACATGAAGAATCCGTTTTGACACCCAGGGTTTATAGCCTTTGGAGATGAGGTAAAATGGTAATAAGTGATGTAAAGGTCCCTCACAATCATACAGACACACACAAACTCAATCATGTCTGAGGCGAGACACGCGCTGCTTCGGAACGAGACCGCCATAGCACAACTGCCTCAGCAATCTTGGCTACCCGGATCGGCATAAATTACTGTTGTTTGCTTAATATAATTAATATCATTGAATACCTATTACTATTATCTTCAAACAAATTTGCATTTAAAAATAAATGAAAACATTGAGTACATTTTTATTTTTTAACCGCGCATCAACTGCAAAAGTAATTAGTTCCGTAAGTGTAGTGCGTGTTTCGTCGCGGAAGGTCGCGTGATCCGTCGGCTTGACAGTTCTTCCCTCAAGCAGGTCCATCTTCCCCTAGCGAGGCACCTGTCGGAACGCGCGCTCTAGGTGCTGCAACCACATGCCGTACGCTCTTTTTTCCTTATCTAATGAAATCAATTTTCAAAATTTTGGTCAATTTCGCGTTGTCTGCTGCAATGTAAAAGGATTCTTTCAGTGGGGTCGCGTTAATGTCTTGAAATCTAGCTGCCGCGCATTTTAGATATTGTTCGTTTATTAATTTCTGCTTCTTCGCTTTTCTTCAGCAGAACTGGAAAGACAGCATTGTTCGATATCTCGCGACTTGCCATCTAATTTATAGCAAAAAAAATTACATACACATTTTCAATCAACTTAAAAAAAATCAATTATCGCAGGAGTACGCGAAATTGAATATCTGATTCTGTTGAGGCAGCAAAATATTTCTTACATGATTACGAGAGCATTAGCAGAAATTGCGAAGAGAGATGTTTGTGTATCGCCCGTATGCTGTATTGCACACACGAAGCACCAGCTTATTTCGCTGATTAAACTGAAAAACTGACTATCTACCAGATAGTTCTATTTAACAAAATGTTCTAAACATTTAAAATATTCAAGAGAAAACTATTGACAAGGATATAAAACATTAACTTACATGTATACAAGAATAGATTTTACATTTTAACCCGAGCCTAAACCCACTTGCATTTCAATCACAAGGAGCGGTGCGATTGAAATGAAGTTATGTATTGGCTCATGTGTTTGGAGGTGTGATTATTCCCGAAAACGGCGTTTCATTGCATCTGTCGCGTTCACTCGTAAACGTGTTATTGGAAAAGCGAAAAAACGCGAATATCCACAGAAGTTGCCTGTCGTTTGACATTTTTATGCAAGTGCAATTATAAATTGGAAAACAATATTAATACTATTTGTCTTCAGACAAACTTAATTTTACAAATCTGAATGAAAATTCAAGTGAATAAGACAACTGGTGGAAAGAGATGCAAATATACAATTTGTACAGATAAAATGTAGAAAGTTCATGATTTACTTCTTGAAATGTGTACTGTCCGGGCACGGCAATCGGGGTGTGTCTCGTGGCAAGGGCGACAAACGTGACATCAGATGTACGCGTTTTAAACAAGTTTAATCAGATGTAGTTTTAAACAAGTCGAAAAGCAATTTTCATAATATAAACATTTTAGTTTTGAGACACAGCTGTAGTGATAATTCGCACTTGTTGATTTAATTTGTGCACATAAATTTAATCAACTCTTTTGACAGCTGACCCGGTACTCTGTTATTATAATATAATAACTTAATAAATCACAGACTAATATGTAATTGTATTAAGAGTACGATTGATAAATTCGGCATCGTAATTGAAATCATGCGGATAAAGCTTCAAAACACAACGAAATATTTACGCGATAAATATGAACTTTAGAGAATCAGATGATTCTTTTTTGATTGTAATTTATGAAGTAAAAATGTATCCTAACAAACAAAAGCATTCAAAATTAAACTTTAACATCATTGTATATGTATATATGTACACACACTTTCGTATTAAGCCTGTTTTACACGACCATTTTTGCATAATTTGTCTGTACAGTAAATGGATGAAAAAATTACGTTCGTTTCTACGCAGTATGTTTCGATGCCGAAACTGTATGAGTGTTTTACACGGTCATTTCTGTCTTTGTACGTAATGAAGAAAATACTTTGCTCCGTTCCCATTGCTCCCTGTGTGCATGCGAGGGACTCTCCCGCCATCCATTGGGCCCCGCGTCCCCAGGTGACCCAGCGGCGCCATTCGGGACTTTCAAATATGGCGGCCCCTCGGATAGAAGGCGCCAAAAAGCGGCGTGGAGTGACCCGTTTACCACAAGACACAAACACAAGTCCATCGACGCATGTTGGCACGGCATGGTGCTGCATGCGCGACGCAGACTCGGCTGCACGAATGGTGTAAAAAACCTCAGCAGCCGCACACGTTTGCGCACGTGACGAGGCGAGGCCAGGCCAGGCCAGGCCAGGCACATCGTGTTGCGACAGCTGAGACGATCGCAGCGGCGGAAAAGATGATTCTGCAGGATAGGCGTGTCACCACGACGCCATGGCAACAGAACTACAGGCCAGTCATGGCTGTGCGCAGCATAGCAAGACGGGTCCCTCGTCGGCTGAAGCCCGAAATAAAGAAGAGGCGAGCCGGCTGCCGCGCCGCCACGAACTCGAAGGTGTCCCATCTTTGGAGCGAATTGTGAAGGGAGAAGAGTCCTGCGTCTGGGGTGTTTGTAGGGTACTTGCTCTAGCTCGGTCTGTAATACAGAGGATGTAAAAAAATATTTACGGTTTTCATTTTATTCGCCCTCGTGTTACAAGGATAAACGGAAACTGTTTCCACGTCAAAATACTTAGTACAAACTACTGAAATGATTCATTCACCATTGTTCATACAGTCCGTTGGCACGAATTTTAATCAGAAAGGAGAGGATTTTTAGGCCCAACATTTTTTTAAATATGGTATTAAAAATATGCATTTATGACGTAAAAGTTCTTAGGTACGTACTTTATTGTGCAATGAAAATTAATATTTCATTTTCTGAATAAACATTTCTTGATAAAATTCAGGAGAATCATGCTTGGAATGAAAATACATATTTTTGTGCAAACATAATACAATCTACCTTACATCGCGTGAGAGATAATTGAAGTAATATTAACTGGAGTAATATAATAGAAGTAACTCAAATTGTATCATTAACGTAATATAATGGAAATATTTGAAGTAATATTCACCTCAATGAAGTACATTGTATGACTTTTTGCGTTTCTTCTGTCTGACTTAAAAAATATATTAAGAAATATACTACATTTGCACAAGTATTTTATCGTCTAAAGAAAAAAGAAAACACTGTCACAAACTCATTCTAATCAATGAACGCACACAAATAAATACATTCTATGAAATATATATGTCTCCATTTGACGAAATATGCACAATGTTCGCCTATAATTACACAATATGTACCAACTGGAAAAATCTGCCACATGTGCACTAAGATATTAATCTACGTAGCATCCAATACTAACCATACGTCAAGAAATTTAACCCAGATAACGCAAACGGATTTCTTCTTTGTGTGATTCCCTGGGGTTCAGAAACGCCGCAAGCTGCTGCTGCCCTGGCTACTTATGTCCTTCACCATCGCCTACGGGGCTGTCTTCTATGGCGTTATGTACATGACCATGAGGAGCGGCTTCAGTCCGGATAAAATGGTGACTGTTGGCGCCGTGGCAGCCGCGGCCGTCATTGTGGTCGGTAAGCATTATTCAGCATCGTCAACATAGGGGCGCGGAACCACGGGGAGGGAAATTCCCCCTCCCCTAAAATTTTCCACATATTTTAACTTGTCACAAGACTTTCAAGCAAAAATATTTTTGGATTATCATTAAAACAAATAAATGTATCGCAGCACGAGCTGAGAGTTGGCTGCGACATTTTACGAAATCTGATTTATGACATAATCCACGAAAATATTTTGAATTTCCCCTCCAAAAATTCGCCTCTGGATCTGCCCCTGCAACATATAAGCAGTGATGGGAAAACATGTAAAAAAGGATTTGGGGTCGATTACAGTTACTTGTCAAATGTTACACCCAATTATTCAATTACATTTTCAGTATGTAATTGATAAGATTACAATTATCTTGTCGTGGTCTTCTTCAGGGCTGGTATGCGAATAATTGTCATCTTTAGCACACGTATCTACACGTAACTAAAAGGGAATGCGTGTATGTGTGTCACACATGAACGCAAACACTACCCAACCGATTTCCCTGAAATTTTCACTCTTTGTTTTTATTGGTAATGGGATTGTTTAAACAGTGATTTGAACTAAACGAACAAGACGGGGCATTGATGATGATTTATTCATTCACGACGTCTCAAGGGCCACTGAAATCTCCGCAACCCGCCATACAGTCAAGGATTGAGCGCGTCTTCACTGCATACAAGTATTTTGCCACCGCGATTGTGAAATATCAGCCGGAATTATTACTTGAATCTCGAAAAGTAAAACAACTTTGTCCAATACAGTGTCAGTGATCGCATGCCCACAATTGCGAGAAAACACGTTTTAACAATAGGATACTTGACAACTACATCCAAACTAGGACATGGAACAAACCCATATTTGCGAGAAAGTCTTTCATCTATTAGACGTTTTGCACAGCGTAGCGTAAAACGTGATTAACAATCAAGTGACCGGTAGTGTGTATTGTGTAGTACATTGCAATAGCGAAGCAATATTAAATGCTATAAATAACTTGTACGTATGTTCCATAAAAGTCCTCTTAATAAAAGCATGTCCGTGTGTAACAGGCAATGCGCTCACAACGGGTTCTTTCTTCCATTTGCAGTCCTGCACGCAATGGCCTTTATCGGAGTGGCGAAGTATTGTGCGTATCTGTGGCGGAGGGAGAGCACGCCGGATTACCCAATACGTCGAATGGGCCTGGTCCTCGCCCGCACCTAGACAAGATTTTTCCAAAATAAAAACATTGTCCGTCGGCGATTCTTCGACTCTTTTTGTTTGTTTGTTTTTAGCAAAATGAGGAAGTATTTTACAGCTGACGCAGTTTGTTTTTTCTTTTGGATTTAAAAGATTTTTACGAAATAAAAATATTTTCGAATAACGTTTCTTCTCTTTATTCAATACAATATTTTTAGAAGAATTTGCCAAGTATTTTACAACCGACACAGTTTCTTTTTCATTGATTTAAACAAAAGTTTTACTTATATTAATCTGTTCTCGACCGACGTATATTTTTAAGACATCTTTTCTAGTAGAATTAGTGAAGTATTTTACAGCTCACACTGCTTTTCTTGATTTACACAAGATTTTAACTAAATATGTTTTCGATCAATGTTGCTTCGTTTTTTCAGAAATCTTTTTAGTAGTATGAGAGAGGTTCTTTACAGCACACGCCGCGTCTTTCGTTTTCGACTTAGACAAGTTTTTGCGAAATTATTCCCGGTCGACGTTTCTTTCTTTCAGACCTCATTTTTAGTACATTTAGCGAGGTTTTCAGCTGACATCTCTCTTTTTTTCACTTAAAAGGCCTGCACCAAAAATGGAATATTGAAATTAACCCCATAAAATAACAAAATCAAATTTTCACACTCAGACGATAATGACATTTTGAAGAAGGCATGTGTATATATATATATATATATATATATATATATATATATATATATATATATATATATATATATACATATATACACCATACCCATAACCATCTTTTGATGGGGTTCATAAGCATGCAGATGAACCGATAAATACACATTAATCTTCTCCTTAGATAAAATCATTAATAGTCAATGGGGGACAGGGGATCTGTTTCGTGGTAGTAACCACATTCAACACATGTACTGAATGAACACAGATAAATATTTTTAAAATAAATCATATTTATTATCAATAGTTCATTATATAACTGTATTTGGTGATCACCTTTGCACTTTTGTTCCAATAGCTTGATTTTCATTTCCAATTACTTTTATCTCTATATCCTCCTTCTGCGATCGCATTTCTAATAGCATGGTTTACAATATTATTCATTTAAATTGTTACAGTGCCGCGTTAATTCAGTTAACAAAATAGCTCTCTTCCATAATTCACATTACTAAAATAAATCTGAATCTCAACATTAGTCTCAAAATCTTTCATTAATTTGCCCCCATTTTGATCTTATGTTATGAATCTCCATTTGAACTTTCAACACGTATTATTCAATCATACAAAATAACTACACAGTCGTTACCATCTCCCCTATCACTGACGGGATGAAACCTCGCCATAACAACGCATAGATATTTACGAGTGCTGGTAATATTTCCACGTCGTCCCTAGCTCGATGTTGTTTCGGACCGTTCGGCTCCACCCGGTCTATGGGTGATCTGGGCTGTCCGGGTGACGCCATGTTGATGGCTGAGTTGCCGACGTTTCGACCATCCTGTCGTCTTCCTCAGGGCTGGTATGGAAGACCACGACAGGATGGTCGAAACGTCGGCAACTCAGCCTTCGACGCGGCGTCACCCGGACACGCCAGAAACCCACCATGACTGGCCCGCGAAGCCTACCTGCTGACGTCTAAGCAATACTTCACACACCAGAAGACACGAGCTTCGCATGATAACACATATCATGATTATACGAAGAAAAACACCAAACACAAATATATGTTACAGACTTAAAACTCTACTTACCACCCTAGCTCTGATAGACCTACTATTCCCCTGATCGCGGAGACGATCACAAACCGATGGCAAGATCATTTGATTGCTAGGCATCGCCACTACCCTACTTTTGAAGCGCGCACAAAGACCTAGCATTCCCGTGACCCGGATTTCCACCTGTGTAGTACACAAGTCCGTTAACTGGCGCACCAAATGGACTGTTTGCCTTCGCATCGCAGAGCCGATCTTATCCATGCAAATCGGCCCGTCGAATTCGTGCACTCAACCACTCTTCACCTACGAGAGCACCACAACACAGCATCGCTCCCCCGCTGAACCGCCATGTCACCGAAGACATAACAGTGCGCCAGTTCGATCAACTAATGGACATCCAACACCTCGCTAGCCCTGCGCTCGCGCATTATACGCGTGGCGCCAAGTTTACTGTGCACCACCACGCAGTTTCTCCCACTGTCTCCCAAAGAACCTACCTACTGGCTTCCGTACACTCTTTATATAGGCGAGGCCCACGTGACCACTAACGTTCAACGCCACCCCCTCCTTTTAGTAACATGAAAAAGCTTTCTTATAAGCCGCGAAGACACCCAAAGCCTGGTTCCCGTCTCCGCGTTCTTTCCCTTTACGGAACAAACCTTCTCCTGTGGCGAGACTAATCCGCAACCAAGCGTCCCCAAATAGATGCCATGAGGCAAATACAAAACAATACGTTACACTACGATTTCATCCACCAGGTCAAGTTCGGCGCCTTCCGGGGGGAAAGCTCCCCTCTCACGCCACGCCGTCGGTGCGCGCCCAATCACAACGCAGGAACGAATCCTCCTAAATAAAACTTGAACTGGAATACTATAACATTCACAACATACCACGCAGTTGAACGAATTTGCATTATCATGCCCATGCAAAATTATTTTTCTAGTTACGATTGTTTTCGATGTAATCCGACGAGTGGCTGTCGCCCAATACCGATACCAATAATTCCTCTTTTGTAATGTTCTACGTCTTGTGAGATCTCGAATTGTTAGATTCATCACATCACATTTCCGATATTCACATTGCCTTACTACATTTCACTTACAATGTTCAAGCATACTACTATGTTCGTATGCAGCAGGTCCGTTCTCCCTGATATCTAGCCCTCTACTGCCCCACGTAATCTTCCGGAATTGAGATGCGCCGAAGACCCGTTCCGCCGTCAGCGGTTCGCGGCGCCGCTTCGGTTTGCGCGCCAACTTTTAATAACTTTGTCAACTAACTAGACCGATCTGCTCGCACTCTCACTCTCTCTCTATTTTTATATATAATGGCGTCACCAAATTTCATTATATTAATTTAATATTAAGAGTTTCTCCACGGAAAGAAAGTAGGTCACAAGACTGGGCTCTTGTCACAGAGGATCCTTTTCAACGGGCCAGCCGCTCGCCAGCTGCCCCGCCCGTCAAATAGGGTGCCGTTCGCAGCACTTATTTACAAGCCGCCCGCTCGGCGCTCGCCCGTCGCACGCCCCCCTCGTCGGTTGCAGGGAAGACCTTTCCCCATCCCCCCTTCGGGGAGCCCCCGCGCACTTAGCAAAACAATGACCGCACGCGTCTTGGCCCGGAGACAGACCCCGCCCGCCGGCCATCCGCCACGCACTCGCACAAGGAATCTCCCTACAACACTTCCGGAAATCCCAGAGGTATTGCTTATAGCTCGCCCGGTGCCGGCTGCCGAAGAATTGTTTCCGAAAACAAAGCCGCCAGAACACGTGTTCGGGCAGCTGCAAGTGATGCTTCCAGAATTAGAGAGAGACCGGGAGAGAGAGAGAGAGAGATCGCCCTGGAAAATGCCAGGAACAGTGCGTCCCGATTGGGTGACATAAAATTGCGACACACATAGTTTCAGTCAATGAGACATCTCCCCGTGAGGGAAGGAGCAACGCTACGGGTACTGAGACCTTTTCGGGAGGAGGAAACGGAGGCGAGCTCGGCCGGGAGCTCAGTAGAGAAAAAGATTACCCGGCAGATTACACTAGATTGCTTTACAAGACTTTTTGTCGATCGCGACTTATAGAAACATTGCATTACAGAACTTTGCCATCGATCGCGACTTAGCATTACATTACAGAACTTTGCTACCGATCGCGACTGAGAGAAACATTACATTACTGATCGGGACTTGCAGGAGAAAAGACGTGGCTCTTAGCTAAGCCTCGATGGAGTGAGGGACACTGTTAATTTCGGCTCGTAGGGCTGAACTTTGCCACCGAGCGCGATTTTTCATCGAACCTAAGACCCGCGCAGACTACGCGTCAATCTGCGTTCGCCGCATAGTGCCGCCTTGGGCCCATTCAAGCCCGCATTACGCCCGCCCGGCGCCCGTGTGACCTCGAACTGACTCTGAGCCCGCCCGCCTTTGACGACTCCGAGACGCACCACGCCGCCAGCTGAGGAGAAGAGCTGAATGGAGAGTCTGTGACCTCACCACCGCCCCGCCGTCGCCGCACCACGCCGCCAGCCCTCGCCAGAGCGAGGGTGAATGAATAGACGAGGACAGCGGGTCTGCTGAGGTGCCGACAACCAGCGGTGATAATCCGGTATTTAACCGAACATGAACTGTCTCCCCTGATTACGTCACGGGGTTTCCTCGCTGGGTATTCCGGCGAAAGTTTCATCGTTGCCACCCTCAGGCAGTTATTTATTTCTTAATAATGGATGAATTATTGTAGACAAAACCCCAATGATAGTCTTAAGATGTTTCTTCCTAGCTATTAGGAAGCTTTGAGCTCATTGCGTAAAGTTGGTTGGCAGTCTTTGTCGCTCTCTTGCGACCTGTAACTTCCCTGGCAGTTAATGTTGTCAGGAATAAATTAATGTAAGGCAAGTCTAGTTACGCCCGATCGAATGCTCTCATCGAGCTCGTGATCTCAAGGGAGGCAGGATATTCAGGGTATGAGAAAGTTTTACCCTAGACACAGAATTAGGCATATCAGTGCGTATATTCTGCCAAGATTGCAACCATAGGCACAGAACAAATGCAAAGAAAACAAATGGCAAATAATACTTACAAATATCACACAGAATGAAATTACCCTTTTGCAACACTTTGAAAAATTACACTTCTTTGATATTTTACTAATTAATTCTTCCTAATTAACTCCCTTCTGGAGAGGCCCGTGCACGGTAATTACTGCTTGGCCAGCACTATTTGAAACGGAACAAAATGTTAATTTACTTGGTTCAATTATCACAACACACAGTGAAATTATTTCTTATTTTTACATTTTTTTGTTTTTTAGTAAAAAAACTTGTTAAAACATTTAGTAAACATATTTCCTTTTACTACATACACAAAACCCCCTCCCTTTATTTATTCTCATGTTTTCTCCATATTCCCCAATATCTGGAAACAAAATTAACTGCAGCATCGATTTCTCAGTAATTATACTAATTACAATTCAAATCAAGCAGCTTACACTTCTCATATTTAGTAACGGTAATGAGAAATACAAATGAACTCACTTTGAAATTGCAAGCTTCTCTTCAGGCTGTCATGTTCTTGTTTTACCTGACAAGGGATGAAGAAATTAAGAAACATAGATTGCACCCACAGTCTCTAAACCGATCTTAATCTCTTTTTCAATAAATTTATATTAGTATGCGAGCTTTCTATAACTCGGGAACGAATATGTCAATTTTGTTTCAAATTACTAATCTCGCGCTCTCAAAAATGTCTATTTATATACAGATAAAATGATGGATAGGAATTCTGGAACTCAAGAAAACGTGCGCCAATAAAACTGTTTACAAAAGTGTGTATAGCGGTAATAATCTTTTAAACTTTTATTATAACGATTTTCAATTCGGAGACATTATAGAAATATAGACTACGTTCATAAAATACTTTATATTTTAAAATTTTAATACTTTATTTAAAAAATTAACTTATATTCTCTACTTTAACAACACTTTTGAACAATATTCCCACTTTGTCTTTGCAGTGAAAAAAATCTGTAACAAATCAACACAATTTGAGAATACATTTTATGCTGATCGTGTCCACCAAAGCAGTCCAGGCAAGCGAGCAATGAATGTACTTCTCTGAGAGAATTTATAATGGCACACTGAGCATTCATGGACACTTTCAGAGCTGTGAATCAATATGTCCTTTTCTAAATCCCTTGACACTACGAAACTCCTTTGGCAAAAGCGTTCATAAGAGCGTTTTCTACATGAATCCGTATGTTTCGATAAATTACTTCTATTTGAGACGTTCTTAGGCCATACTGAACAACAAATAAGAAGGTTCCCCGTTGTGATGAGCATGTGTCTTTCTAGGTAACTTTTCCTTGCAAAAAGTCTGTGGCAGACGGAGCAATCATAAATATTTTCTCCTCCGTAAACTCGCATGTGCGTAACTAAAGTACTCCTTGCAGCGAAGCTCTTTTCGCAGTCGGAGCATTCATAAGGACGTTCTCCGCTGTGAATCCGCAAGTGCCCTTCTAAATCACTTTTCTGCCTGAAGGCCTTTGGGCACTGTGAGCATGCATAAGGACGTTCTCCGTTATGAATCCGCATATGCATAACTAAATGGCTTTTCCATTTAAAGCTTTTGTGGCAGTCGGAGCATTCATGAGCAAATTCCTCACTTTGAGTCTCTCCGCAAAATGACAGTTCATCTTCACTCGCGCTATTTCGTTTGGAGAAACGAGAAGCATTTTTAGAAGAACTCTTCTTCCGCGCAACTCTTTGATTAGGCTTCACTCCGGTACTCCCAAGTGCTAGGTCGTCTCCTTTCCTGCAATCGCTATTTGCTTCCACGGCGCTTCCCGGGCGAGTCTTCGAGTCGTTGACGGTGCCTTCTATGTCATACTCTCCACCTGGGGGCAGAAATACTTCATTAGGAGGTGTATTTAAAGTTGTTTCTACAGAATGAGGAACGCGTGTTGACCTGTGTCGAGTATCACAATTTGAGGCTTAAACGTAGCTACTTCAGTACACCGGGAAAAGAAAAGCTTCAGCTTGTCAGCCAGCTGCTATACTAGTTTTCGAACACGTTATTTAATGTGTAATCAATATATATTTCATAATCCGTATGAATTGATTAGGATAATATGGGATATCTTAGTCTTCATACCTGATTGTCAAGGACAACTATATTTTCACAGGCTTAGATTTTAATGTGTCCCTTTAAGATCACGAGCTGGAAGGAGGAATAGGCGCAGTCATCCAATACCAAAACTATGTCGTAACGAACTTCCAGATTGGATGACAATGTCTCTCCCCATATTCCAGATCGTGATCGTCAGGAACACTACATTTAAATCAGTATCGGCGCATAGGCGTCCAAATTAATTCAAATTTAGAGCCACGCTTGGAACTCATTCATTTTGGCTATTCTTTGGGGTAACTTAGGAAGAAAAAAAACATACATTTCAAACGTCACGCTTTCGAAACAACCTTCGCTTTCAAGCCTGCCAGTTCGCTCACAAGGAGCAAGAATTAATTTGGTATGAAACATTTTGAAACAAATTTTGAATTGTTTCCAAAAGTGACCGATAGATCTCACCACCACCTGGACTGTCGGCGAAGAAGCGTTGCACATTGTAGTAATTTCTCGGAATCCGAATTTCACATAAGACGCAACGAGATGGAATTGTTTGAGAATCTGGAGCTGCTAGCAGTTTCGTAACGATCCGCCTCGCTCGTGAAAAAAGGCGAAGGATCACGCATTTTGGCTGCATGAAAAATTAGATTTTAGGTTGTATCATTACTTTAAGTTGGCATTACATTTCCAAAGAGAAGCATTTCCGGAGAACGATCGCCGTTCTCCAGAACCAGGCAATGCTGACAACCTATTCAATCGGAGAGAGAGACATTCCAAATTTTATAAATAGGGTCAGAAAGAGAAAAACGAGAATCGGAAGCTGACAGAGAGAAGAGGACGTTCAAATATCGTCCTTCAAATAGTCAGTGAAACGGTCAGGACAACTAGGACGCGAAATGTTCACTACAGGGGAGGAGCAGCGTCGACGGTACCGAGAGCGTTCAACAGGGTCCGCGACCCCACAACGGAGAACCCAATGTTTGAGAACGGGTTACAGGCAGCTCCTTGAAAGTTGTTGTATTTTCGTGATTTCCGCGCAACCCCTTTTCGTAGATAATACGGCAGTATCGCATAATCGAAATAGAAAAGCCTGCCAATCGCTGGACCTCTGACCAGTAAAGAGCTGCGGTGTTGCGATCCCACGTTATCCGACCGCGGTATCCGCCATTGGGTCGGGGGGGGGGCGCCAGGCTGCCTGAGGACGCGCTCGAAGTCGGAGCATTGTGCCGAGAATCCTCGCAACGGGGCAGTGAGGGTACTTAGTCCCTGGAGCTCGGGCGGTGCTCCCTGCTGGAGGGAGATTCCCGGGCGAGGGAAAGCCCCCTGGAGATTGACGTGTAGTTCGGCGCCGGATCTCGTCATCCCGCAGGGGAGGTTCGGCGCAACTCTCCGCAAAAAGAAACGAGCCCTATACTTAGAGAACGAATGCCACTGGCAGTTGAGGCGCCCAGAAACACGAACTGGACATATCAACTAGCTGCGACAGCGATCGTAACTATGGGTGATACACTATGTGATCAAAACTATCCGGACTCGTCCAAAATGGGCTTGCTCGCCTTGTGTTGTGTGGCACTAGTACGGCACAGGTCTACGTTGATGTTTTAAACAACTTCTTGCTCCCCACTGTTGAAGAGCAATTCGTGGATGGCGATTGCACCTTTCAACATGATCGAGCACCTGTTCGTACTGCACGGCCTGTAGCGGAGTGGCTACACGACAGTAACACACCAGTAACGGACTGGCATGCACCAAGTCCTGACTTGGATCCTATCGAACACCTTTGGGATGTTTTGGAACGCCGACTTCGTGCCAGGCCTCACCCACCCACATCGATACCACTCCAAAATACAGCAGTTCGTGAAAATAGGCTGCCTTTCCCCAAGAAACCTTCCAGTACCTGATTGAATGTATGCCTGCGAGAGTGGAAGCTGACATCTAGGCTAAGGGTGGGCCAACGCCCTGGTACCAACTGGTAAGTCATTTTCAGCCACATGTCCGAATACGTTTGATCACAAAGTGTATGGATAAAAGCCAACTATTAACTTGTTTCTCAAGATTTCGAAAATATTGTTTCGAATAATATGAATAAGGGATGTGAGCAATTGCTCTTAACTATTCTCGACCTAGGAACAAAACTTGCCGCATAAATGAAATCGAGACTTTGCTTCTAGTTCGAAGCTTCCAATTTTCAGAGCAACCTCTGCAGATGGCTCAAATCGTATTAAATGGGTAGAAGACTAATGAACTTAACAGTTAACGCGCCCGGACCCACTAATCAATCGACAAAACTCGAACAAAACGCTTCCACTTCGTTCAAAATCATCGTGTTAATTGAGCGCTATATCAAATAAAGTACTTCAATGTTAGCAAAATAACTAGAACACGTCTTCTTGCCATGAATGTAGACGTATTATTGAGAAACTAAGAATATTTAGGAAACCGAATTTACAAAGTAGGTCAAAGTTTACAAAATAGGTCCAATGAAAACCGTGCTCAAAACAAGCTTTTCAATTTATTCTAAAGCACCAGCACGAAAATCATTTCAGCGTTATTATTCACAACAAAATAAGTGCCTATAAGAATCTGCAAATTACAACTTTGTAAACCGAGTCAATAATTCCTAAATATTTTTATTTTATTGGCGCATACGTGTTTGAGATGACAGATACAAGTCGATAATAAGATCGCGCGGAACGACGAGGATACGCGGGTCGACAGTACAAACTTTTTCTAAATCTTTCTTGCTCTAAGAGTACAAAGTTCACTTTAAAGTAACATATAGTTTCGATTTTAAGGAAGACAATTATACCGACAGCAAATAATAATTTTGATCTCTTATTTACATAAATAAAATAGGTGTATATCCGTGATTTCAAAACAACTGTCTTCCTAGAGACTCAAGATTCGTGATATATTAAAAACACACTACTGTTTCTACAATTTTTCCATCCATCTCTACATACCTCTGTTCATCTGTCCGTCAGCCCGTCCGTCCGACCGCAAAGACGTTTTAGAACAATCGTTATAACACTGGCGGACGCTTGGTTTTTCGCAGGTGTGCAAACATGATACACAGTATGAATGGAAATATTCTGTCATCTTCAAAATATCGCAGCAATAAATGAGAGTAATTTATGTAGAAAATGGTAAACAATACCCACTTCGATGAGAGTATCAAAAGAAATAACTTGGTTCAAAGCTTGTTACTTCAGCAGTAGTGAGAAAGGTACATTATTACTACCAAACACATTTTAAAAAATGCTGGCTAAATAGAAAACACACGAAAATCCAAGTAAAATTTCTTACGGTCCAAAAAAGTAAAAACAGAAATAGGTCACAGCCCTTATAAAACAAAGCAAACCAAAATTAAAAATTCATTAGTAAAAAATGTTATATTTTCTTTGTTTACGCAAAAATGCGCATGTTTTTGGAAAAATTGCTGTAATTCATACCCCGCAGTTGTTTAAGAAAAGGACAGGAAATATTTGTGAGTTCTTGTTTAGAAATGATTTTACGAAACACTTTTTTTCTCATTCTACCTTAATATGTAAAATAAGTAATCTCCAAAATATACAGTCTACACTGACATTCATTTCTGATCAAACGCTCTGCAAACACTTTCCGACATAACGTGAAAAATAAATTTCCTCCAACAGATCCATAGATTGTTCTAAAAACCAAAAAGACTCAGAGGGAGTAAATGCGCGCCTCACGAACGGTTAACAGCAACTCAAATGCAAACTATTGAATGAGTACGTTCAACAATAACCGTGGCATTGAAAACCACCTGCTTCGTCCTTAATACTCACCAGCAGACCCTTCAATTTTACAACAAAAAAATTCACCGTCCGGTGCCAAAGGGTCCTGTGGCAGAAAACAAACACAATTAGTCAAATGTATCATGTCGCCAGTTGTTCATTGCCTCTTATCTGCCAAAGGGCATTGGCTAATTAGCATTTAATGCATCTATTGACGAGACGATCAATGTCTTTCGCCACAAACGCACAAATTTGTGTTAAAAAAGAAAAGGCCAATTCATTCTAAATCTAGCATAAGCTAAAACAGCAAATACATTCTCGCATTATTTGTAACTTTTAAAATTTTCGACACTTAAAAGAGTTCAACGAAAATCAGACGTGTACTCTTTTCATTAGTGTATTTTATACTACCTGAACAAAAAATAGAGTTTTTAAGAAAGTGTTGTTTCTAAAATTTTCTTTATTCCATGCAAAATAGCGCGCAACCACTCATTTTGAACAACGTTGAACATGATTTTATTTAAAAATAGAATTTGGATGATCACTAAGAAACTAGAGGAGCAACAAGCCCACATACTTTCTCGTATTATTGTACACAGTTAGGTAATATCGTTACGTTGTTATGATGTAGAATATAGAAACGTTTGTCCTACTAACACCGCACCTTTGAATTGCAAAAGTCAAATTCAACCAATTCAATCGAAGCGCTTGTAGTAGATATCTGCGTTTTTCGATTGTCAGAAACAGTAGTCAATTCTTACTTTTCCAACGCAACACAAAAAACCAGTTACACAATTTACACCACTTATTTATGAGGAGCATCCAGAAAGTAAGAATACAGGGGCTGGGTAGGACACGGGAATATTTTTTTTCAATGCTGGCACGCATGTCGTATAGATGGTTTCTTAACGGTCATAACTTATGGAACATCTAATTTCAAGCTATATCAGGAAAGAATGGGAGGGCAGGGAGTGGCTTTATCAGGGTCCAGCACGGTTTCAGAAATGGTTTCTCATGCGAAAGTAGCTAGTCTCACTTCTACAGGACCTAGCGACGTAGTTGATGAAGGAAAAGGATCGACCGCGAAGTAATAGATTTTTCCAAAGCTTTTGATGTTGTTCCACACGATCGTCTTATAAAGATATATTAATAGATTCGGGTATAGACACTAGAGTGGTAGCGTGGATAAACGAACTACTCCGAAACAGGAAACAGAAAGTTCGAAATCGGTAGTTATTTATTCACCTCGAGAAGCGTCACACGTCAGGAAAATTCCACAGGAAGTGTAATCGGACCATCATGTTTTCTGGCCTTTGTGAATGAATTGCCAACTAATTTAGCTTCAAATGTACGACTGCTCTTTGCAGATGACTGCGTAATCTATAGGATTATCAACTCGGAGAACAGACGAGGATATTTTGCAGCGAGACTTAGACAAATTACATATCTGGGCAGAACAAACGCATGGAAATAAACAGTTCAAAGAGCCAGCTTCCATCACGTTTGGTAGGGGTCGAAGTTACATGAATTTGTGTACAAACTGAAACTAATGTTATACTCGAGTCAGGTTTCAAATACTTAGGAATACAGCTAGACAGTAAATTTGAGCTGGAAATCAATCAATTTCGTTGTAGGGAAAGCCTGGAAATCTTTACATTTTGTTATGCGGATACTGAAAAAGAGTTCAGTGAAGAGCCAAAAGAACTAGCATATATGTCATTAGTGCGACCATATATTAGAATATGGCGCGTATGCTTGGGACCCATAACAGAATTTTGCAACAAAGAATCTAGAAAAAGTCCAGCGTAGAGCATCAAAATTTAACTTTCAGGGGTAGCAGAAATAAGGGTATGGGAGTCACTCGAAAGGAGAAGATTAAAAGTCACGTCTCTATGCAATGTATAAAGCGTACACAGGCCTTCGAACGTGGAAATGAAATTCAAAGTCGATTAGGGAACCTACATTTTTCGGCAGAGCGGATCACAAGCACAAAATCAGACAAGAATCTCAGAAACAGACGTTGGTAAATATTCATTCCCGAATCGCACAATTAGGGACTGAAGCAGTTTTGCCTGTGACAATCTTTCGATCCCTTTCTCAAAAACTTGAGCAATTCAAAATAAATTAGTTTCTTGAATGTGGCTATGTTATAAATATATTAATAAAATTCAGTTCATAACCTATGTCTTCTTTGTAATAAGTATTATTATTCGTTGTTATTATTATTAATGTTATTATCATTATTATTGTTATTATTATCATTATTATTATTATTATTATTTATTATTATTCATTATTATTGTCATTATTATCTTATTTATTATTATTATTATTATTATTATTATTATTTTTATTATTATTATTATTATTAGTGTGCAGTGCACGTGGCGTGAAGTGCAGTGACGTGTCAACACGAGAGAACGAGTGAGTAAGAAAGACATTACAGCTCGCTGTAATCGCAGTGCGGTGAGTGCGGTGAATGTGAAGTTTGGTGAAGTGGAGTTTTATGAAAGATTGACGGTGAAATGTTCATTGAGTATTCTGTAACATTTGTAGAGTTTGTATAGTTTAAGCTTAGTAATGCTCTAAGTTCGTGCTAACTTCTGCACCCAAGTCTCTCACACTTAATTGCAGAATTATTAATAAATCTAAATCTAATCTAAATAACGAGACATCGACCGGCTCAGTTCGCTACAAAATGTCGCAGTAGCTGACCACGTCATCCAGTTCGTAGCCCGTTGCTCCACGTACCTCATACATGAGATTCGCTGTCATTGGCTTCACGTTGAGCAACGAATCGGGGGCCAGCGCCCATCGCCACCTTGCGGAAACCTACGGATCCGAGATAATGAATCGGCAGAATGTTACCAAATTAATGTAACTTCAAATTAACTTCTCCCCATAGCATGTCACACATAGTTTTTAACTGGTTTTGACGTAAATGAATAAATAAATGCGTAACAATGGCGCAGTGCCGCTACATCCATTTAATAACACAAAAAACAAAATCAACATTCACAGAGAAAAATCATGGCATCTGTCTTTTGGGACAGGAACGCGATCTTGTATGTCAATTTCATTTCCAAAAGGACCACCATTGCTGTCGCATATTGTGAGACCCTAAAGAAGTTAAAACAAAAATCAAAGACACAAGAAGAGGGTTGCTGACAACGCCAAACCCTATACCTCCCGGCTTCCTCAGGGCCTGCTCGCGTCGTTTGGATGGGACACTGTGACTCACCCACCCTACTCCCAGGACTTGACACCCTCAGATTAACATCGCTTCACCAAACTGAAGTTCTTGGGTGGACAGCGATTTTCTAATAACGAGGTCGCGGAGATTGTGAAAAAGTGGCTTAAAGGGGCGGAGCGTAACTCGAGCGCATACAAAAGTGCATTGACCTCAGCGGCGATTATATCGAGAAATAATAACAAGCTGCAACTATTTAATACAACCAGTAGACAATACTTTAGCATAAATAGAACAAAGATGTTAATTGAAAATCGCCTTGAAAATAATAGAATAAGGTTTGATGAAAACAAATTAAAAATTATCCGATACGCAGCCCCACCACTACATAGAAAAGCAGGAATAATTTCATACCACCTTGTCTTGATTACATAAAAGTAAGAATCCATTTTTCTAACACCATTATCAGCAATCAAACATTCATTTGATCGAAATTGAATCTATTTGCCTTCCTTAATTTTATTTTCCTTCGTGAGATTATCTACATCATACGATCAACATGCGCGCCAACAATGAGAAGAAATTGAAACTGCTGTGTAGCCAATTTTGGGAACCTAAAGCGTATTTTCACGCAATGCGAAGCTCGAGAAATTCCATATTTCCAATTTTGATTTCTTTTGCAATTTTCGAAAATACGGAGAGTTCACAGAAATGGGACCAGCACCACTTTCTTTACTGTTCTTTGCTACATAGGAGGAGGAAGTTTAAAGAAGAAAAAAAGGGGGACGATTTTTGAAAAAATGATTGTTAAATTGCGATTGGCACTAAATGCTGCAAAATCACGCTGCCAGAGGGCTCCACGGCTCCTGTGCGCGCAAGAATGCGCCAAGTAGCGAACGCCACGCGCACAAAGTTACCCTGAGGGCTAAGGGACTTTCCGAAAGCGCAAATTATTAGTATTACACTGCTTAAAATAAAATCTGGGTCAGAGATTGCTGTTCTTACCTCGTCTTCCTGATTCACTTCCCTACCAGGCACCTCGGCAGGATCCACAAATACTCTGATCGGTGGTTTGAGCTCCTGAAAGAAAAATAAAACACACTCATTCCCACATATTTTTTTTTATCACAATACAAAGCGGAGAACCAGTGATAAAGATTGGCGAAGTTTATGCGGATTATTCACTCAATTATCACGAGTCAAACTATAACTAGTGTTAATCGCCCGTATTTTCACGCATGATTTCGAGAAAGGTTCTCAAATTTTCGAAAAATTGTACATGACTTTATTCCAAAATCTATCTTTGAGGAACAGATTTCACTCAGGGATAAAATATTTAGTAATATAAGTGAATTCCGAAAAAAGTTCAAACTTTTGCAAATTTTCAAAAAAGCAAGGTTTTCAACAAACATGAGACGAACACCATTCTCACAAACGTTCTTCACACTAATAAAAAAATTTAATCAAAAACAATAGAGCCACTTTTTGAAAATGTTCCAAGGGTTCAATGTAAAGTACCCTCGAAAATAAAAATATCGGTTTCAAATTCAAGGGGGCGCAACATCTGCCAGATCGATTGAGAAACATCAATTTTGGAGAAAATCTGCGGAGCGGTTTAGTCTCTTGCGCTGTTCAATTTGGCGGTATCAAGGATCCATAAATCATGCATTCTGGCTACACCAAGTGATAGAAAGCTTTTTTCCTAAATTTAGCAACTGGATTTATCCACTTTTGGGTTACCACTAGGAGGGATTGATGCTATGAGCTACAATGCTTAAAATTTTGATTTTGTAATATAAGTTATGCATAAATTTTATTCTGTAGCTTCAGCATCAATAGGCATGTTAAAGAAATCGCTTGATGCTGAAAAATTGTAATGCCCCATTTCTCAGTAAGCTCTAAAAAAACATCTTTGGAGATCTGTTTCCTGAAACTTTCCGACAGACTTGAAATTGCCTTATCAGCAGTCACTTCTTTAAGGGGGTAGATACAGTTTACAGCAATTTAATTTTTACTGCTTTGCAACTTCTTCCTCATTAAAATCATACTCTCGCAGTGAAAATGTAGTGACACACAAATATCTTTCTAAGGGACAAATTTTGCTTTTAAATTTAATTTTTTTTTCTTTCAGAAATCAAAATTTAAGTAGTATTTAATGCACTGACATAGTTTTTCTTTGATAACTCTAATTTAGAAGATTTGTATCAATTTCTTCTTTTGATTCGTTGGAAATACTCAGGTACAAAACCATGTATTTTCATTTAGATCCCTGAATAAATAAATTAAATTGGAATCAAAAATTATATGTTGATAAATGCTTTTTTAAGTTTTATAATTTTTAACACAAAAACTATTGAACTGAAGTGTATGATTCAGCATAGTTTTGTACGTAATACTTGGTTATATGTGTAAAAATTTCATAGCTTTAACATGATTAGTTTTTCAGTTATCAGCGAAACGGATCATAAAAACTAATTCCGGAAAAAAGTGAGGGAAGTTTGTTTCATGAATTTTGCTTACCTTACTACTCTAATAGATGCATGATGCAGCGACATACCTTTAAGTCATAACTCGAAAACTATTGCAGATATCCAATTTTTTCTTCAAATTATTGAGAAATAATTAATGAATAGAAAAAAATATTTTCAAATATCGATTTTTTAAAGTTTTTAAAGTGTATCTGCGGTATTTATTTATCATTCAAGGATGGGGGATAGTACACCAAAGCGGGCACAGAAGTATCTTGAAAGAAAGGAAAGACAGGAAAAACTGGGAGCCGGCCCATGAGACACCAATAATGTGCGTAGAATGACGGACCTACTGTTGGTGTCATGTTTTCTTCATATCAAATAAAATGGCTACCAGGTATTGACATAGCACAACAAAAGTGAGATCTGTGTGGCCAGGATGACGATGTGGGCGATGATTGACCTGTTTCCTGTAACCATAATGACAAGCTTGAAAGAGTGTAAGTAGGTTTCTCTGTTCCATGAGCCAGACCAGACATGTGTTCAACATTCGCTGTAAAAGCTTACAAACACAGCTTGTGAATGAAATTAGAGGGCAGGTTTATTTCTATTTATTAATGTCAAAAGCAGTTAAAAATGTGAGTAAAGTGCTATCAGAAGAAGTTAATTTGAAGTTACATGTACTCGTATGTCCAGAAGCATAACAAGTAATTGAACGAACCATCTCAGCATTTGCTCAAGGGTCAGGGAAACTGGACAAAAACATGATCGAGATGTGGGTTATTGATTCAGTAGCTGAAGTTCAATATTTGTTACAGGTTATAGTTATATTATTTGTTACAGTTGTATATAAAAATAATAAAAGGCAAACAGTATTATCTATCCAATAATTCTAAAAAGAGGATTCATGCTCAAAAAAGAAGAAACAAAAATAAGCATTATAAAATTTCATCTTATGTCATCATTTGTCACGATTCATGCACACATATTATCAGCCTTTAAATAAGTTCGCTAGAATAAAATGGGCATTTCCCTAAACATCCCGAGACATGATGTTCATATGAAAGTAACAAACGTCTTTTACAATACACAAAACATGTCCTATGTGACTGTTTCTTATGCCTCCAGGGTGCTGACTGAAAACTTGTGCAAAACGTTACTTGCCCAGTGGGGACCGTAAAGAAAGTAAGGAGAACAAATTTCTGACACACTTGAGAAATATTTGAGGATTTCACAGAAGCAAAAAAGACATTAACACATCAACAATCTATTTTCTCTTCTTTGCAATGCTTCAACCTGTTTCCATGAGCTATGGAATAAGGTCATATTAATATTGTTAATAGAAGTACTCGTATTTACTTTCCTTATATTATAGCATAGTATTTGTACTTCTGCACTCAAAGACCAGGACCAATCTAAACAGTAAATATCATTGAAACTATATATTGAATCCAATTAAAATTGCTGTATTTTATTTGAAGCTGAAGCAAAGAAAAAAGAACTGCATATCACATCCTGTGAAATAGAAGAAGAAAAAAACTGGTCAAAACTTGCCTCCTCACCATTTCAAGTTATAAATATAGAATGTACTACTATTGTTAAATTTGACATAGTTGCAAACATAATTGATATGTATTATTAATGTAATTATTATTATTAATGTAATTATTATTAATATAATTATTATAAGTAGTAGCATTAAAATATATTGAAATGTTAATTATTAGCAGATAATTTATCTACTGTATATCTTAATCTAACTGTAACAAGTATTGTATTTCTAGGCCAATGACCCCATCTCAATCAGGTTTTGTTCAGTTTCCCTGATCCTTTGAGCAAATGCTGAGATGGCCCCTTGTTTGCTCCTGAACAGTAATATAACTTTGCTCTCTCCACCCAAGGCATCATATTGACTCGTCATACACGATTGTAATTGTATATGTGACTCAATAAATATTATTATTGTAAATGTTATATTAATATTCTAATGACACAAACATGAAAGTCTCAATAACAAAAAAGTTCTATTTAAAATCTGGTTTCACCAACTCACCTCTGCATCATTTTCCTCTTTCTTCAATTCTCTCTTCACAGGGTAAACCATGTCACCTTCCTACAAAACAGAAACAGTACACTACTTTATAGTTGCTACAGTGTGAAAATATCACTCAAACTGGCAAAAAGATAGAAATGTGTCACTTAAAAAAACTCTCAACCAATTTATAAGATATTAAGACAAGATCTACTGTGAAATAAAACAGAATAGAAAATAGAAATAGAAGGTTGGAAAAACACAATTTTTATTCCCATATTTACCCAAATGTAAGACAACACTAATTTTGAAGACCCCTCTGCGGCCAGTTTTTAAAATTTTTAACTACTTCTTACTATTTAGTCAAAATAAAATTACAAAATGTTTTATTGACCAGAAAATTGCCTTGTTGATGAGAATGTTAAAATACAGTATTCAGGGTTATTGGGTAAATATGGTATTCAGTACTTCCAACCGACAAGGTAGCATTCAAAAATCACCTCTCATTCTCTGGTTTTAAGTTTTCAAAATCATATAATCAGTATTGTTGATCTAATTTTACTTTAACGTTATTATATTTGGGCAATAAAATAACAAACGCAAAGCAAGCTTGTATTGCTTTTACTGCAATTAACCTCTTTAATGTAATGAAACTAGAATTGTCAATACTAACAAATGAAGACTGTATTTTGTAGTCAGTTATTATATTTTATAGTAGTTGTGTTACACATTTATACAAGTGTGAGGTGACCTTTTAATAATATTTTGATATTAATTAGAAGTCTTACTTCTTTTAAAAATCATTAAAATATTTTGAAATGTTTCTTGTGGGTTTTTCAACAGTTTCATTATGTGCGAAAAACAAGAGGCAGTTTTTTGGGGGGTTGGAGAAACTTAAGCCAACCAGGAAATGATGTATATTAAAACACTAGGTACCAAACTAAAATAAAATATTCACAAATTCTACTCACCTCACAAATTATCATTTGATTCAAAATTTAATTATTGTCTCTAAACAAACTATTTCTCAAACAAACTTCAACTTTGAAATTCAAAGTTAACTATACACAACAACTCAAATATTTTTAGTTCACAAAACTTATTGAAATTTAAAGAAAGAAACAAACAAGCAAAGAAAAAAGAAAAATAATGAAAGAAAAGAATGAGGGAGAACAAGAAAAAGTAAAAAAATAAAACCGAGAAACAAAGAAAGGAAATGTATTTTCATTTTAAAAAATTGCTTGTCAATCACTCAAAAGAAACCTCACTTACATTTTGAATTAATGTCAAAGTACAATGGTAATTGCATATCTCAGTCAGTGCCATAGTTACAACACTTAAGCAACAGATTGTTCAATTTCTATTCTACTTTTACAACAGGTTGAAAGAGTCAACAAGTTCCCAAGGAATTCCATGAAATCCATACATAAACTTTAAAGAATGTACCAATAGGTAAGACAAAATGTTTTACCCATAACTTTTTGGTCATTACGAGAATCCAGATATTTAGGCATTTATTTTTAATGACATGGGCAGGCAAAAGCATTTATTCTAGCTAAAGTAGGGAGGACAAAATGCATGCAAGTAATTAAAAATCACCATTTAAAATGAACTATTGTAAAAAATTAATCAATTATATGAATCAAATTTTTACTCTCTATAATTTACTTTGGCACTTATGTGGAAGAAAATAATCTGTTATTTGTAATCTTGATTGCATATGACAACACAGTATGACGGCTAAGAATGCTTTACTTTCGACACTATCTCTATGAAATACTATTGTGACTATTGTTTTCCAGCTGTTATTAATGATAATTTTCCATCTCCCAAGAAGTTGGGGGCTCACCAAACTGTTATAGCAAAGCTTTCCATTTTCTTGTGAACAACAGTTCCTGTTCACCAATTCACCAAAGGTTTTTTATGCGTTCTTTCATTGCCTTCCATTAAATACGTACACATCCGCAACACTTTTCTCCATTTTTTCTCTCAGTTCTCACTGTATGGTGTACTGTATTGTGTATAAATCTATTCCACGAATAATTTTGTAGACATCCCATTCTCTACTTAACTTCATTTCCTTTTATGAATATATTCTTCTTTAATTTCATGTTTTGTTTTGCATGATTTTTTTTGTAATCTGCTTCATCTTTCTGGTATATAGATGACCTTATCAAATAATAGAATTGTATAGTAAGACCTCGACTAAAGCTGAATAAGAATAAACATAAAAGTTATTTTTTATATAGATGATGTATTGCGAGAATGTGAGGACCCACAAAAAGATGTTTATACACTACATCTACTTGGTGGAATCATCTATATCCTCTGAATACCAAAAAAGAGGACATGGTCATGTCTTATTATGTGAATAAATTGTCCATTCAAAAATTGTATGATACAGTGATATACCTATAATTTTATTTATCTTGGATGTGAAATTAGTTTCACGGCAAGGAAAAAAACAACAATAAATTTCAATCTCTATGTGGAATAATTAACCTCACAATAAAAGAAGGAGAGATTATTAAATGAAATTTTATAATAGATCTGCTTCAATTATTCTTATGAAAGCAACTTGTGAATTAGAAAATGGAAAGTTAACACTGAAGAACAGAGACAAAGAAATATAACTTTATCTCAAGCAACAGAAACACTATTTCTTGAGAAAATGGAACAAATATTTTAATTGAAAATATAGAAGAAAACCAATATCATGGAGGCATCACACTGAAAGAATGGATGAAGAAAAATTTCCAAAAATAGATAATAGTGTACTGCCCAAAGAGAAAAAGAACTGACAAAATTAAACCAGGGGACAGGGCCATGTTAACAGCATTGAGGGCCCATGCTCCTGGGTTTATTTGGAGGCTGCCTCTTCTTTCTTCAAACAATTTCCCTTCCTCCTATTTCAGTGCTGAAACGTTTAAAACAATTACACTGTATTTTTATAATCTTTTGAAAGTATTTCTTAGAATTTCAATTTAACATTATTCAATTAATTAGAACAAATGACAAATTTAACTTCTAATGCTCTCCTGAAACATTATGAATGTGAACCTATTCCCTTTACTTCTCCTGTTCTTCAAATATTTACAAATTTTATTTTTTTTAACATATAATGAGCTAAAAAATTATGATAGTTTTGGACTATTTGTAATAAACTGTCAACACAAAATCCTATATTGGTGGCACTGCTGGTTCAGGAATTACACACAGTCCTAAAAGATTTAGGACAAAAAATATAAATTAGCAAATTAGACCTATAAAACATGATGCTGTAATACACGTTATAATTGCGCATACCTCAGACCCACTGAACCCTAGGCGCTTAAAATCAGATTTTTGAGTACTTAAGAAAAAAAGGAGTTTTGTGGGGACTGGAAGATAAATAATGAGGAATAGGTGAAAGTATGTGGGGAGAAATAAAAAGAGAACAGAGCCATTTTTCTTAAACATTATTCTACAGAATGAGATTCTTTTCAACTTTATATTTTTAGAGATTGAGATATTTAAGGTTACCGCATACCACAGCATAAATATGAAACTGTCTTTATATGAAACTAAGGAAATGAGATCTGACCTTTCACCTAACCATTTTAATGAATTTACATTTGCAAAAATTACTGTTGAGGCATTTAGTAGTAAGCAACTGACATTTCATGGTACACAAGAAAATTCAATAATTTAAGTTTTGCAAGCCATAACTTTCCAGAGAAAGTTACTTCCATATGTGACTTATTCTTGAAATTTTTTGTCTTATACAGAGAACCATTCTTATAAACTAGATGCAGGGCCGGTTCACTCAATGTTAAAAGGCGGGGGACTAAGTTAGTTTCCTCATTCACCCGGACCTGGTACATCTGGTGGCAGATAGCCAGCTGGTTTGCGTTTTGGCGCGCATTTTCAAAGTAAGGTTGTGCGGAATTAATTGTGGCGCGTGTAGAGATTATTCAAGAGTATTATCTGCTTTTCTTATTGATTCAGATCTAACTTTGATTTAAATAAATATTTTTAAAATCTCGTATTAGATGTTTTATACTTAAAACAAAATTGTAAGTGATTTACTGTATCTTAATTACTTTAAAAGCAGAAAAAGTGAAAACATGAATTTTTTTAAATTGATCATTTCCTTTATTTTTGTTTTTAGTTTTTTTTTTTCACAATAGATATATAAACATTGAGGTCTGGTGCGAATACTGCCCTTAAACTCAAACAAAATCTTTAAATATGAGTATTATTAGTCTCAATCACTTTCTCATGTGTTCACTTATGCGTAATAAGCTTGTAGCAACACCTGTCAGCATGGTTGCAGAAAAAAGACATTCTTTATTCCAAAAAAAAATCCTCTTACTCTTAAAACATTATTTCAACAAAAAAACTTAACAACAATTTAGCACAGTTTTTGAAATATAAATTCTATTTAATAGTTTGTCCTGTTCCTTCCCACTTAAATGGTATTTACGCATATACACAAGGAAAAAGGTTAACATTATCTAAAAATTATAAGCATAAATTCCGTTTTTTATTAGTTTTTTACAATATTAATTTTTTTTATTAGTGAGTATCAATACAAATTCCATTTTATTAATGCTTATCTTCTCTAAGATGGTTACACTTTGTGGCATTAGCAAACATTTTAACTCCAAATCTAGAATTACAAATATGCTTTGAAGATTTATTGTGTTTTTCTTCGAACAAGCTTGGGTGTGTGTATGTCTCCTAAATTTTGCTATTATCTACAGACAATGAAATGCTAGATTAAAAACTAATATAGTCATCCAAGTCGCATAGTAAAAACTACTAATAAGTGTTTATTGTTATTTCATAAGCAGTGCTCATTTTAGTATATTTACATTGGTATTTTTTTTTCTCGAAATTCTTCAATTATGTGAACAAAGTTTAAAGAAATATATTCGTTGTATTAACATGTAATCTTTTTAAGCTCTTCATCTCTATAACTTAATATTTGTAATATTTGAAAAATAACTTAAATCAAGTGATTTTTAAAAAAGTTACATTTGTTATAAATCATCGATGAAATCATACCAGCCTTAATTTTTGTGACTTAAGGCTGAAAATAAATTGATACATTTTAATACCATATCAATACATTGTTATTTTGGGTAGTCTTTCAACACAAAGGAAAATGAAACAAATTTTATAAATTAATCACTAGTTTTGATGTTTGGCAAGTTGATTGTTTGTAGTTAGTCATAACATACCGGTAAATTACGCTTAGTGTCTGGGATTAAGAGGGAATTTGCATTGTTTACAAAAAAATCTTATGAAATGAAAATTTTGGTGAAGATATAACAATTTTAATTTGGCAGTTTCTTCTGCCTAGTTTTAAGGGCAATCTTAACTTTAAAATAAATACTAGGCACAGGATTTCTCTGTTTAGGCGCAATACAGAAGCTTTTTTTATTTTCTAATAGCTACCTGAATTGGTTACTCGCACTCATGAACAATATTCCACAAAGTCACACACACTATCCTCTATTGAAATCTACACATGGGTAGAACAATACTGAATGTTACGAATGGACAAGAATTTTGAGACGGTATAAGTAGATAAAATTGGATTTAGATTTTTACTATAATTATCAATATATATTATTACATGGATTTCTGTTCAGATGTTTCATTTAGCAATCAAATTTGGCTACATTTAATTAAAATTCAATCTATAATATCTTCAACGTTTTCTAGCAACTGAAGTATGTGAAATATCAACAAAAGTAATTAACCCTATCTTAATATTTTAAATAAACGTTAGATATTTAGGGGTAATATTTTTATTGCCACAGTTTTTTTTATTAACATTCGAAACCGAAAGTTTTAATTGTCTCGATTCAAAATTGTTTTTGGGATAATTTATTACCATATATTTTCGCAGTGGCTTGTTAGGAAAGTTTTCTAAACAGAGGCAATTTATTATTCGCAAATATATATCTGCTCGAAATAATATATTTGTCTATAGAATCATCGAGACTCAGCAGCCACTTGGCAGCATCAAGGGAAAAAAAGATTTCACTGGCACACTTTGTATAAGCTTTCTTGAAATGTTCTTTGAGAAGAACAACAGGGCTGGGCTTTGTAGGAAACCTGTTGATCGACAATTCCATCTCTAATTTAGTGAAGTCGAATTCGTTGTATCTTGCAGTAATTCATACTGGCAACTCGAAGATGCACCTCCAGAATGGAAACGTAACTCGTACACCTAAGCAAATAAATTAATTACATTTTCATCAATACATATAAATGAAGAGTGTACGCTATTCTAGAAATGCAAACAATAATGAATTTATGAATATTGAAAATTAAGACATTTTGACTGCTTTTTTTAAACCCAACGGATCGCAAAACAATGAATATATGGATATACAATGACATATTACAAAACGTGTCCAATACCATACGAAATAATATAACACAATACGTTTAAACAAATAGAACAGAATAAATGACCGTACAGGTTAGGTTTATACTACATGGATTTACGGATTTTAAGCCTATTTTGCATGGTGTAAATGGTTTCACAAAATTAAATAATCATTACACATTATTCAACAAGACTTCCAAATGAATTATGAAATACCTCCACTTGCTGGTAGGTGAAAATCGCTAGCAATGTACTTGTCTAGAAACCAGTTTTCTTAATATCATCTGCGCAAAAAAACAATACTGAAAAGAAGTTTTACGACATGAAAAAATAAATATTCGACATTATTCAGCTTTACTTACAATGCACGACATTCTACATACTAACAAAACGCTGAAAAAATTCGATAAAAATGAGCACCGACCTGCTTGCAGCCTGCCACGTAACGAGAAAACAACGACCGGCCTACATTGCCAGCTTTCTTGCAATTGCATGACGGTCACACCGTTTAGTTTCGGCTCAGCGTCGGAACTGTTGTAAGAGTGGCGCAATCAATCATCTAACGGGGCCAAGTTTCCGTACCCTGACTAGTATTGCAAGGCAAAGAGTATATATAGAGACGGGCACTGTCAATGTTAAAAAGGAAAAGCCTTTATTTGCCCAAGCTTCCGGTGCCGCACATTGTTCTGTTAATTTCTATTGGGTAATACGGACAGCCCAATACAAAAGAAGTAACCGGTAATTAAAATAAATCAAACAAACGCGGGAACTTTAAAATTTCACTCCCCATACTTTCCGACGCCTTAATTTATTAAAAATTACAATGAATAATTATACAGGATTTTATGGAAGAAAAAGAGTCAATTAGGGTACAAATTTTTTTTATTTATTGAGCATGATTGATATTTATATCAATTTCGTAAATTTCATTAGTAAATTAATTTTGTATTACAGAAAGTAATAAACAATACCACGCTGCATAATTGCAAACTTTAGTATTTGATGTAGACATGC